ATATTTTAATCCTTTATAATAATTTTAGACGAGTATTCAATTGATAAAACACTCAAACCTTTATTAATCGATGAGAAAATATATTATGAATAATAAAATTTCCGAGTAATCAACAAATTTAAAGAATATTGTAATAAATAGTCATTCAATTTTATCAAATGAGTGTTTATATAAACGAATATCCATATAAAATTATTTAAAGAATTAATATGTTTGAAAATCAAAAACTGATTAAATTAATGAATGTGTTTTTTATGAATCACATGGATACACTTAGCCCAGTTATAAAAACCCACTTTTTATCCATTTTTATTTTATTCCTAGTTATGATACGTGTTGTTATATACATACATATGTATATAAAAATTATGAAAATTAATAACTATTGTCACCATTTTGTATAATTATTATACAAATAAATGTTTATTGATTATTGAATTAATATAATTAATATTCATGATTATTATTATTTGTGAAAAATATTTTATTTACTAAAATGTCAACTGTAATTAATAATTATAAAATTTGTGATCAAATACCACAACATTTAAAAAAAGAAATTAAATATTTTTATGTTTTCAAAGACTTGTTTCAAGGACATAACATACTGTTTGTGACATTTGATGATATGGTGTATGGATTGAGATATAATAGTGAGGGTCAGCTCGGGTTAGGACACGACACACCCATTCATCCACCACAACCAGTAACAGAATTATGCCATAAAAATATTCATCAGTTTATAAGTGGACAAGACTTTGTATTGGCTCTCAATACGGATAATAATGTGATATTCAGTTTTGGTCTCAATGATGAGGGACAATTGGGACGGTATGTGGATATGGATGAGAATGTATACCCTAAACTAGATACTATATTATATTTCCAAACAAACAATTTAATTATTTCACAAATAAGTTGTGGTTATCAGCACACAATTGTGTTGACATCAAATGGACAGGTATTCGGGTGGGGGTGTAATACCAGAGGACAGGTTGGTTGTGGCGATGAAAGTATTGAATGGCGATTAGATCCAACTCCTGTTGAATTTGGCATTGAATATAAAATTAGTAAAATAGAGTGCAATGAGTGGACATCACTTGCTATTACTTATGAGGGAAAGGTGTTTATATGGGGAGAGGTTGATAATAATAACATAAATACACCACATCTATTAGAAATCGAAATTAACATACACAGTGCACTTCCAGAAACTTCTTATACTGTATATTTGTTATCTAACCATGGTCAATTATATCGATATGACTTTCTTATTGAGTGTTTAGTAAGATTGTCACACTATCACAGATTATCATATTTGGTGTTCAATGAAATCAAACAAAAACATAACCAAATTGTGGGCAAATCTGGTGATAAAATATATGAAATTGATTGGGAAGATCTGTTTGAAACCAATTATACATCATTTGATGATTATTTTTTAAATGAAAAGCAAATCACTTTAAATACCATTTCAACACATATTCAACAAAATACACAAATTTGTAGTAAATATTACAATAATGCCTTAATTGTGGCCTTAATATGTTGGCATTGAATTGATTGTTATTATTTTGTTTTATTATAGAAACTAACGATAAGTTGAATAATTCAATATCATTTGAAAAGTCATTTGATGTAATAAATAAGCTTGGTGAGGGTGGCTATGGACTGGTGTATAAAGTTCAAGATAAATGTAATTATGGATTATATGCAATAAAAAAATGTCTATTAAATGGTAAACATATTTTATTTTATTTGCAAAATTATGATAATTTTTATTATATTTGGATTTTTCTAAGGATTAACAGAAAAAGGAAAACAAAATGTTTTGAATGAAACGCAAAGTCTTTTGAAACTTCGGTCAGAGTTTGTGATTCAATACTACTATTCATGGA